CCAAACAAAATTGGAAAGCTAATGATAACAAAGGAAACTGACCCTATCTAAGATGCGTTTATTCATGAGCATGGAAGAACTAAAATATAGCAGGACTGGGGAGGGATGATCAGGGGTTAGTAATGCAGTTTGTTGTCTCAATATTATTGGTGTGTCAGGTCCTTTCATCTATTTCAAGTTTTTTTTTTTCCTTTTTAAGATTTATTTATTTCTTTGAAAGGCAGAGTTACAGTGAGGTAGAGGCAGAGAGAGAAAGGTCCTTCATCCACTGGGTCACTCCCCAAATGCCCGCAATGGCCGGAGCTGGGATGATCCAATGCCAGGAGCCTGGATCTTCTTCCAGGTCTCCCATGTGGATGTAGGAGCCCAAAGACTTGGGCCACCTGTTGTTTTCCCAGGCCATAGCAGAGAGCTGGATCAGAAGTGGAACAGCCAGGACTTGAACTGGAGCCCATATGGGATGTCAGCACTGTAGGTGGCAGCTTTACCAGCTAAGACACAGTGTTGGCCCCAGTTTTTTTTTTTTTTCTTTTCAAGTTCTGTACCGTTTTGCTAATATCTCTTTCTTAAGAGCAATGTACTCTCAGACAGTTTCAAGAGTGAATTCTTTCAGATCTTCAAAGAACACTGTTCTTAGGCTATTTAAATTACTTCTAAGGGGCCAGCATTGTAGCACAGCAGGTTAAGTCACCATCTGTAACACTGGCATCCCATATGGGTGTACCTGTTTGAGTCCTGGCTGCTCTGCTTCTGATCTAGCTCCCTGTTAATACACCTGAGAAGATGTGGATGATGGTCCAAGTACTTATGTCCTTACCATACACATGGGAGACCTGGAGACTGGCACACTCCAAGCTGTTGTGACCATTTGGGCAGTGAACTGGTGAGTCCTCTGCCTTTCCAATAAATACATAAATACATAAAAATTTTTAAAACTACTTCTAAGCAGAGGAAGAAGTAACTCTTCATAGTTCTTTTTAGGAAAACAGCATAAACGTGGTATCAAAACTTAGCTAAGATAATGCAAATAATGTATCTATAGATGAAACTCAATTATTGATTTTAAGTAAAATTGTTAACAAAAAGGAACCCACATATTGCTTAAATATTACACCATGACCAAGGGTAAGGCTGGTTCACAAACTGGAAAGATACTAAAATAATTCATCATCCTAATAGGACAAAGAAGAAAAAAAATCATTTCACAGAATTCAATTTCTATTTCTGCTACAAATGTTTAGTTAGGTTGATACAAAAAAAAAAAACCTGTCATAATATGACAAGAAATACACACACACACACACATATGTAAATACACACCAAATGAACACCCAATATCTATCACTTGAAATTGTTCTCAAAGTGCTAGCCAATGAAAACAGACCACCCTCCCCCATCACTGCCAAAATATGGTTTTGGATACAAACCAAACATCCATTTTCTACAAAAATTCTAAAAAGATGGAAATATTAAAGAAAATTTCTTTTATAAATAGAATTTGTTAGAGATTAATAGTAAACCTCATATTTAATGACATAGTAAAAACATCCCCAAATTAATAAAGATGATAAAGATGGCCAGAATCAATGCTATTATATATACCACTATTTTGGAGAAGTTTGCAATTAATTAAAGGCAGAATGATGTATAAAGGAAGAGATATGATTTTTATATTTAAGTGATTGTTTTCCCAGGAAATTCAAGAGAAATTTTTAAATAATCTTTTTAAAAAGATTATTTTTATTTATTTGCTTATTTTTAAGAGTTTATTTATTTGACAGGTAGAGTTACAGAGAATGAGAGGGAGAGACAGAGAGAAAGGTCTTCCCTATGCTGCTTCACTCCCCAAATGGCCACAACAGCCAGAGCTGGGCCCATCTGAAGCCAAGAGCTTCTTCCCGGTCTCCCATGTGGGTACAGGGGCCCAAGTAAATGGGCCATCTTTTACTGCTTTCCCAGGCTACAGCAGAGAGGAAGAGGGGCAACTGGGACTAGAACAGGCACCCACAGGAGATGCAGGCACTACAGGCACAGGATTAACCTACTGCACCATAGTGCCAGCCCCTAAAGATTTGTTTATTTGAAAGGCAAAGTGATAGAGAGAGAGAGACATACAGACAGACAGACTCACACACACAGAAAGGTCTTCCATCTGCTAATCCTCTCCTCAAGTGGTTGCAATGGCTGAGGCTGGTCAACGCTAAAGTCAGGAGTCAGAAGCTCCATCTGGATCTCCTACATGGGAGGAAGGTGCCCAAGCACTTAGGCCAGCCTCTGCTGCCTTCCCAAGTATTTTAGCAGGGAGCTGGATTAGAAGCAGAGCAACTGGTACCGGCGCTGTGGCATAGCGGGTAAAGCTGCTGCCTGCAGTGCCGGCATCCCATATGGGTGCTGGTTCGAGTCCTGGCTGCTCCACTTCGGATCCAGCTCTCTGGCACTGGGAAAGCAGTGGAAGATGGCCCAAGTTCTTGGGCCCCTGCACCCACGTGGGAGACCCGATGGAGGTTCCTGGCTCCTGGCTTCAGATCAGCACAGCTCCAGCTGTTGTGGCCAACTGGGGAGTGAACCAGCGGATAGAAGACCTCTCTCTCTCTCTGCCTCTCCTCTCCTGTGTAGAACTCTGACTTTCAAATAAATAAATCTTAAAAAAAAAAAAAAGGGCAACTGGGATTGGATCTGGCACTCCAATATGGGACGCTGGTGCCACAGACATCAGCCTAATCCAATGTGTGCCACAATGCTAGCCCAGAGAAACTCCTCATTAAAGGTAATAAATTCAGAAAGTTGGATAAACACACTCACCTACATATCAGTGACAAAATATCAGAGAATATAGTAGTTAAAATTCCCCAAAGAATTTTTTAATGGTATATGAAGTTTATTTTATATTTTATCTGCAAGATAATGCACTAATATTCAAGAAAGTTTCAAAAAAGAAGAGTGAAAAGGGACTTGCTCTATGAATTACTAAAAAGTGCCATAGTCAAAGCAGATTGTTATTTGTAAAAGAGGAGACATATAAAGCAACAGATGAATCTAAAATTTAAAAAAGCACATATACACAAGGGAATTTACTATGAAGAGGTATTTCTAGTCAATTGTGAAATAACTGATTTCAGGAAAAATGGCTATCCATTCTCAAAAACAAAGAAGGAAAATGAATAGCGATCATATGCAATGTTCAATACAATTTTCAGATGTGTTAATGAGTAAAGCATAAAAATGGGTGGAAGCAATGAATACAGGAGAAAATTTTAGCTAAGTTTTGACTGGGGACTACCTTCCCTTATGAACTACAAAACCTGGGCACTTTTTTAAAATCTTGATTTGTTTATTTGAAAATTTTGACTTTGTCAAAATTACAGAGAGAGAGGGAGAGAGATCTTCCATACTCTGGTTCACTCCCCAAATGGCTGAAAATGGCCAGGGCTGGGCCAGACCAAAGTCAAGAGCCAGGAGCTACTTACAGGTCTCCCACATGGGAGGCAGGGACCTAAGCACTTGGGCCATCTTCCCGTGCTTTCCCTGACACATTAGCAGGGAGCCGGATCAGAAGTAGAGCAGCTGGGACTTGAACCAATGCCCAAATGGGATTCCGGCATGGTAGACGTTGGCTTAACCCGCTATGCCACAGCGCCGGCCCTAAAACCTGGACATTTTAAACCAAAAGGCTGACAGTTCTTGAAAATATCTGCCATACATTTCACAAACATATTTGCTTCCTAATGAGAAATGGAAAAATTACTTAATATTGGACAATACACAGATAAGGCACATTAAGTGGTACATCTAAACTAGGGAACACCACACTCATATTACAATAACTAGAAGTACATATGGCAAGATTTCCATCATAGTTTTTTAAAAATCGGTGGAAGCAGATCACAGACCAGGAAGCATTGACCATTTAGCTTTCATAAGGAAATAACACGATCATGCACCTACAAGAGGCAAAATGCCTAGGGCTACATGGCTGAACACAGGGCTTAGAAGGGTTTCACTTTCGGCTTTATACACGGTACTATCATTTGAGGGTGTCTTGCCCCGACCAAGAGGGGAACAAAATAATTTTTTCAACAGAAAACAGCGCTTGCTTCTCTGCAACCTCTTTCAACGTGTACTCCAAGCAGGGCAGGAAGGCACATCGGGTTCTCTCAATTTCATGTCGCCTCACTTCCTTCACCACCACTTCTCACTTGTCCAAAGCACCTCCTGGGAGGTGACTGACACAGCAAGGCTGGCTGACTGCGGCTGGCTACAGGCACACGCCTCGGGGATCCTTCTAACCCGGCGTTTCCACTTCTTGACAAGCACAAGCTTTTTGCGCCCGCAACTCGTTTGCTGGTCAGTTTCCACCCGCGTAGGGGGCTCCACCTGGAGGCTCCCACCGCCGGCAGCGCTCACTTCCGCCCCCTCTGCCCGGGCCACCGAGCCCCTCTGCGACCCTCTGGGAAGTTGCCCAACGTCTCACTGACAACGGCTATGATGACACCTCACAGCAAAGCATAAGAGCAGAATTGTGCAACCCCCTTGGGGGAAAACAACGGAAAGAACCTTCTCAGAAGTTTTCGAAACAGCAACGAGGACAGTACTTGCTCCTGGGAGGCGGTCCTCCCTAGGGGAAGTCAGGGGCGCTACCGACGGGGTCCACCGCAGGCCCCGCCAGCCGCAGCTCCCCGGCAAAACAGCGAAACAGGAGGTCACCGAGAGCTGCCAGGGCCGATCCTGGGCTGGGTCGGGGCGGGGGCTGTAGCTGGTGAGCCGACGTCCCCGGAGCAGAAAGCCCTTCCCGCGTCAGCTACAGGACACCGGTCCGCGCGCCTGCCCCCGCACCAGTCCCTCCCCGCGCTACGAGCGCTCGGTCCCCGGGAGCTCCTCGGCTTCTCTCCCTGCGGCGCCCACGCGGCCAGAGCGTCCCTGTCGCTCTCTCACACACAAGTCCCCCTTCCTCGCTCGACGGACTCGGACACGCCAATTCGCTCACGCAGTTTCTTACTCACACTTCAAGGATTCCGCCACTTTTTCTCACGCCTCCGGTCGCCGGCCCCCGGCTGAAGGACTCCAACCGGAAGTTGCTTTCCGTTCCAGTTCAGAGGGCAGCGGCTGCTGGCGGAGCCATTAACTCTTCACCCTCCACCCGGCCGGGCCCCTTTTGCCCGACCCCGCCCAGCCCAGCCCGGCTCGGCTCGGCTCAGCCCCGCCCCGCCACGCCGGGAAAACCTGAGCTGCGGAAGTGAATCCGCTGACAAGTTTTGGAAAGGTCACTTGAGGAATTTCTTTTCCAAACAGTAAATAAACAGGTGGAACACATCACCGTGTCTAAGAGTTGAGAGGACCCAAGAATTCCCTGGGATGCTTACGATGTAGTTTCACCAACCAAACCCTAGAGACTCCAGGTCAGACAACTGAGGTAAGCCCAGGAACCTGCATGGTCAATAGATCCTCTTGTGTATGTGATTAAGGTGATTAAAGTCAAACACCCTGAGAAACACCAGGAGCGCGTGCCCTCGCGCACACACCCATGCACGCACACACCCATGCACACATGTGCGTTTGTGTTTTTTTCCCAACTAGTAATACTTTACACTAAATGTACTTGCTGAAGTGGAGTGGTTGGGACATGCAAGTTGAGCTTTACCAGAAAATTTCCCAGGAATTAAAACTTCCCCATTATTCCATTTCCTAGCAATGCTTGCATACTCTCCAAGATAGAAATTTTAGTTTTCTTTCAGTATCTATCTTTTCCCTGTTAAAAGCCAAGGGATCAGATTCTGGCTGCCTCAGGTTCTCCCTGTATTTCTGAACCGTGCACATTTATCCTTCTTTCTTTAGGCCAGAAAGTTTGAGGATTTAAAAACCTGCTAAGCTGCAGTGCATTCTGCCCAATTACCTCCAATATTGGGCTTACTTTTAGAAATCAAAGCCAAAACATAGTTACAACTTTTTTTTTAAACAGAAACTTATATTATTTTGAGCAGTTGAACAGTTTGCTTTTAACAAGCAGTTAAACATGACAATGCATCACTCCTTGAAGCAATTTTAGGTTTACTGAACACAATGAGAGTACAGCCCACAGGTTTTTAGCAATCCGTCTGCCCCAACATTGCATAGCCTCCCCTGTTATCAACATTCCTCATCAGAGTGGTGATGAAAAAACTGCTATAAACATCCCTGTGTAAGTTTTTGTGTGGACATGTTTTTCAACTCCTTTAACTAATACCAAAGAATGTGATTGCTGGATTGTATGGTAAGAGTATGTTGAGTAAGAAACTGTCACACTCTCTTTCAAATGGCTGTATGGTTGAATTATAACCAGCAATGAATGAGAGTTATGAGAGTTCCTGTTGCTCCATATTCTCACCAGCATCTGGTGTTGTCAATGTTTTGGATTATGGCCATTCTAATAGATGAAGAGTAGTACCTCATGGTTGTTTAAATTTGCATTTTTCCTATAATGATGATCAGTGTTGTTTTTTTTTTTTTTTTTTACAATTGACATATGATATCTTTAATGAAGTTTGGGGAATTGACTTGAGACATTCATTTGAGAAATAATCTTTTTAATAGAGTGCTATAATTGTGCTCTAGTATTCCTTCATTTATGTTATTAAATACCTCAAGTTAGTATGCAGTGATGTGTCATTGGTGGTGGGGTATGATGGGATGAAAATGAGGAACTACAGGCATATTAAAAATATTTTGGGAGCTATTTTTACAGTTGCTTAATATTTTATGGAGAGTTCTGAATATAAATCTAAGAACAAGGAAACCTACCAGTATAATCAGTTACTACAACTTGCAGTGTCAGGTACGATCTCAGCCAAATCTTTAAAATACTATTATAAATGGAATCTGGTTGACTTATTTAAAATGACATGTGAGTTGGCTGTCTATGTCTCAGATTCTCCAGCTAAAATGCCTATGAAAATTGAAATATATGAGCATTCATAATAACGTTGGAAGTCAAGACTGCTGTTTAGGGCTATTCTGTATGTTGAGCAGGCTGTACTCATTTGCCAAGCCTTGCCCCTTCAGTCTAAGGCTTCTCAGAGAAGTACTTTCCCTAAATAGTACACAAAAGTACAATAAGTACCATAATTGCACAAAAAGTACTGTAATAATTGGACAAAAGTACCATAAGAGTAGTTGTAGCCTGCTGGCAGGCAGTTAAAACCATAATTTGATAAGATTTTACACCAACTGCAAGATCTCTGATGTTGAAATGAACATGTATTTTGTGGTTTGAAGGCAAGCAAATGTGTTGGTAAGGAAGCTACCTCATGGTGCCTACTAGTGAATTGGACAGTTGCTTTACTACAATGTGTGATCTCTAATTAATATTTTGTACCCCAAAGGGGAACTCTCTATTATCCAATTTGGAACTATGGTTTGGAAAATACTAATAATACCCAACGGGAGTGGATAAATGTGATGATTTCTATCCAAGCATGTGTAGCCAATAAGGAAAGGGGCTAAGCAGACAGATCTGGCTGTTTGACTTTTTGGAGGCTTCATTTTTCATATATTGTTCCTATTTATCAAGGAAAAGACCAATAATTGTTTCTGGTTCACCAGCAGTTCTCCTCTTTATAGTAAAATGACTAGGCAGTAAGGGTAAGGAATCTTACCTTAGCCAAACACCCACAGTAACAAAATTGATAAATGCCAGTTTCACATGAAAAGTTAACTATGAACTGTGCATGTCTGTTTGTCCTTCCAGCTCAAAATCTGTGCTGAGGAACTAAAAGCAATCAGATAATGAGAACCAAGGAAAAGTCGCATATCTAATTAGTAAGGGCTACACAAGGAGAAGAAGGAAATGTAAGACAAAGCATCCATTTGAAAATATTGTGCTTCATAAGGGAGAATCCTCAAAATACAAAGAAGACAAACACTTTGAAAAATCATTTATCCGAAGTTAATGGAAAGAATCTGCTTGAAATATAAGATGCTAGTGTAAGAGGAGCATGGAGGCAAGAAGTAATACAAAAAAGTTGGATAAATCTGTAAAGACACAAAACATGCAATGGCAAGACTGACATATTATTTGTCCAAAATCAAGGATAAAATCAGTCCATCAGGCAGGCATTGGGGGGCAGCAAGTTAAACTGCTGCCTAAGACATCTGCAGTTCATATCATGGAGTGTTTGAAGTTGAGTCCCATCTCTGTTTCCAAACTAGCTTCTTCCTAATGCATATTCTGGGAGGCAATAGATGATGCCTCAAGTGCTTGGCTCCTTACTATTCGTGCTTAAAACCAATTAAACTCATAAACCTATATTAATGAGCACACAACATTATAAAGATAATTTGTAATGGCACATATACAAAACTGTATAGGAATATAGAGTTTTTATTACTGAAACTAAGTATCAGTTCATATGAGGTTATTATAAATTTAATTTGTTAATTGTAATCTTCATGATAACTTATAATAAAATATCTAAAAATAAGTACATAAAATGAGTAGGGAATAAAGTATTAAACTGGAAAGAATCAGTTAAATACAAAGGAAGGCAGTAATGGAGGAACTGAGGATAGAAAAATGTAGTAAGACATAGAGGAAGTAAATAAGGTGGTTGAAGTATTAGTACTTTATTGTTGGTAGTCACCTTAAATGTAGATAGCTCAACTTCTTCAATCAAAAGGCAAAGCTTGACAGAATGAATCATACATGATCAGATAATTGACTTACATGCTGTCTATAAGAGACTCACCTTAGATAGAAAGACACAAATCAATGAAATTTACAGTAGGAAAAAACTTTTTCCAGGAAAATAGTAACTAAAAGAGAGATTGATGGCTACACTAATATAGACAAATAAGACTTCCAGACAAAAAACTGCTACAGTGGCTGGCATCACAGCTCACTTGGCTGATCCTCCACCTGTGGCACCTGCACCCTGGGTTCTAGTCCCAGTTGGGGCACCGGATTCTGTCCCAGTTACTCCTCTTCCAGTCCAGCTCTCTGCTGTGGTCCAGGAAGGCAGTGGAGGATGGCCCAAGTCCTTGAGCCCTGCACCTGCATGGGAGACCAGGAGGAAGCACCTGGCTCCTGGCTTCGGATTGGCGCAGCCTGCCGACCATAACAGCCATCTGGGGGAGTGAAACAAAGGATAGGAAGACCTTTCTCTCTGTCTCTCTCTCTCACTGTCTAAATCTGCCTGTCAGAAAAAAAAGAAAAAACTGCTACAAGATACAAAGAAGGTCACTGTATATCAAAATAGTTATTCATTAGAAAAATGTAACGGTTATATACATATACCCACCAAACTCTTGGGCCCTAAAAATATATAAACATTGGCTCAATTAAAGGGAAGAATAGACATTGCTACAATAATCATTGGAGACTTCATTATGCCACTTTTAATAATGGATAGAAAAACAGAAGATCAAAAAGGAAATAGATAACTTGAATAATATTGTAAGTGACTATACCCAACAAACATCTTTAATTGACTATACCCAACAAACATATATAGAGCATTCCACCCAAGGAAACCAAAGTATATTTTCTTAAATGCATGTGGAATATTCTCCAGGATAGACCCAATTACAAGATCAACAACAACAACAAAAGCTCAATATATTTAAAAAGACTGATATCAGAGCCGGCACTGTGACATAGAAGGATAAGTCTCTGCCTGTAGTGCCTGCATCCCATATGGGAGCTGATTCAATTCCCAGCTGCTCTATTTCCAATCCAGCTTCCTGCTACTGTGCCTGGAAAACTGCAGAAGATGCCCCAAGTGCTTGGACCCCTACATCCACATGGGAGACCCAGAAGAAGCTTCTGGTTCCTGGCTTCAGCCTGGTCCAGCCCCGGCCACTGCAGCCATTTAGGGAGTGAACCAGCGGATGGAAGACCTCTCTCTGTCTCTCTTTTTCTCTCTGCCTTTCAAATAAATAAATGAATCTTTAAAAAAATAAAAAGATAGAAATCATACAAATATCTTCTCCAGCCAAAATGAAATGAAACTAGAAATCAATAAATAGCACAAGAAAACTGGAAAATTCATTAAAATGTGCAAATTATGCCACACATTCTTAACCAGTGAGTCAAAGAAGAAATCACAAAGTTAAGATTTGCTTACAGATGAATGAAAACGAAATTTCAACATACCAAGATGTGTGAAATGCAATGAAAGCAATATTATGGGGAAATTAATAGCAATAAATTTCCACACACAAAAAGCAGAAAGACCTGAAATCAGTAACTTAACTTTACACCTGAATGAACTAGCAAACTTTATCTAAAACTAGCAGAAAGAAGGAATAAAGAGTAGAGCAGAGATAAATACAAAAGAGGTTAGAAAAACAGAAGAGAGAATCAATGAAAAACTATTCAGGCTTGGAAAAGATCAATAAAATTGACAAACCACATAAAGTTGTACAAAAAAAAAAAGAAGACAGAAAATAACCAAATCAGAAATGAAAGTGGGAATATAACCACTAACCAAATAGAAATTTAAAAAAATTATAAAATTATGGAACAGTTGTATGTCAACAGATTATAAAATTTAGGTAAAATGAATATATAAATTCCTAGAAATCAAACTACCAAATCTGAATCAAGAACAAATAGAAAATTCGAACAGATTTGTAACAAATGATTGAGTCAATAGTCAAAAACCTCTCAAGAAAGAAAAATCCAAGACCAGATGACTTTGCTGGTAAATTTATTTGAAGATTTATTTATTTAAAAGTAGAGTTAGAGAGAAAGAGAGCGTGAGAGAGAGAGAGAGAGAGAGAGAGCGCTATCTTTCATCTGCTAGTTCATTCCCCAAATGGCCACAATGACCAGGAGCCAGAGCCAGAGCCAGGAGTTTCTTCTGGTCTCCAACATGGATGTAGGGCCCCAAGGGTACATTTGGAGGGAAGTGGATCAGAAGTGGAGCAGCCTGGGCTTGAACAAGTACCCATAAAGGATTCTGGCATCGCAGGTGACAACTTTACCAACTATGCCACAATGCCAGCCCTGTCAGTCATAATTTTACCCAGTACTTAAGAATTAACACCAGAGCCGGAGCTGTGCTTAGTAAGTTAAACCTTTGTCTGAAGTGCCAGCATCTCATGTGGGCACTGGTTCAAGTCCAGGCTGCTCCACTTCCAATCTAGCTCCCTGTGAATGGCCTGAGAAAAGCAGTGGAAGATGGTCCAAATGCTTGGGTTCCAGCACCCACATGGGTGACCTAAAAGAAGCTCCTGGCTCCTGGCTTCAGATAGGCTCAGCTCAAGCCATTGTGGCCATTTGGGGAGTGAACCAGCGGATGGAAGACCTCTCTCTCTCTCTCTCTCTGTCTGTCTCTGCAATTCTGCCTTTCAAATAAAAACATAAATCTTAAAAAAAAAAAAAAGTCAGAGAACAACTCAGAAATCATGCTCTGGATTTTATACAACTCATTCGAATGAGCACTTAGTCCAGAAGACTCGTATCTCTTTTGAGGTCAATATCCTCAGTAACCTAAGGACCTCCCACTAGACCTCACCTCTTTAAGTTTCACATCACCTGCACACTGAAGATCAAGCCTACAACACATGGACCCTTAGGGGCAAACCACATCCAAATTCTAGCACCCCAAGATCAGGAACAAGACAAGGACACTTTTTTCCACAACAGCTATTCGACATTGTTCAATAAGTTCTAGCCAGAGCAACTAGATAAGAAAAAGAAATAAAAGGCATCCGACTTGGGAAACAAGAAGGAAAATTATTTCTGTTCTCAAATGATCTTATCCTACACATAGTAAATCCCAAAGATACACAAGAAAGCTAATAGAGATGATAAAAAAAATTTAGCAAACTTTCAGGGTACAAAATAAACATTCAAAAAGTCGGCCAGTGATGTACTCTCCTAAAATGAGATAAAATAAAAAAAATTTCATTTACAATAACATTTAAAGGAATAAAATGCCTCAGAACAAATAGTTAGAGAGGTAAGAAGACTTGTACATTGAAAACTGTAAAAAATTGCTGAAAATATGGTCAGAAAAACCTAAGTGGAAAGACATTCCATGTCCATCAATTGGAAGACTTAAACTCATTAAGATAGTGATATTCCCCAAACTGATCTTCAGATTCAATGCAATTCTTATAAAAATTCCAGTGACCTTTTTGTTTTTTGCAAAAATGGACAAGCTGATTTCCCAATTCAGATGAAATTTCAAGTATCCTCAAATTTATATGGAATTGTAGATAGTGAACAGGAAAAACAAGCTTTGAAGACTTACATTTTCCAATGTCAATACTTTTGTGAAGCTACAATAATCAAAATATAGACCAAAGAAACAGAATTGAGAGTCTAGAAATAAACCTTTACATGGTGCCAAAACCATTTGATGAAGTACTCTTTTAAATGCATGATGGTGGAAAACTGATAATCACATGCAAAAAAATTAAACTGGACCTCATCTAACTAAAAATTAACCAATTGCTTAAATAAAAGAGCAGTACTATAGCACTGGCTACACAAAAACATGTCATCATGATCTTGGATTTGGCAATGGATTTTTAGATATAATACCAAAACAACAAATAAGAGAAAAATAAATGAACTTAATAAAAAATAAAACTTGTGCAATTAAAAACATTACCAACATACTGACAATACAACCCCCACAATGGGAGAAAATATTTTTAAACCATGTATATGATAAGTATCTAGAATCCAGAATATATAAAGAATTCTGACAATGCAACAACAAATAGGTAACTCAATGAAAACATGGGTAAGGGACTTGAATACAGATTTCTCTAAAGAGGATATATAAATGATTAACAAGCACATGAAAAGATGCCTGACATCAGTAACCTTTAGGAAAATACGAATTAAAACGACAGTGAGGTACCACTTCCCCTTCACTAGGATGGCTATAATAAAAATGCAGATGGAAAATGGCAAGTGTTGACAAGAATGTAGGGCAACTGGAAATTTCATTCATTACTGGTGGCAATGCAAAATGGTTCAGCCACTGTGGAAATCAATTTGTGATCCCTTAAAATGTTAAACATATAATTACTGTGTAATCTCACAATGCCACTGTTAGGTATATACCCCAAAGTAATGAAAATAGGTACTCAAACAAATAGGAATAAATGCCTGTGCACAGTAACACTATATCCAATTGTCAAAATGTAAAAATTTACCCCAAATACCCTCTTCATCAAAGATGAGTAGATAAACATATTATGTAGTATACACATACAGTAGCATATTATTCAGTGATGCATGCTACAACATAGATAAACTTCAAAAACATGCTAAGTGAAGGAAGTTAGACAGCAAAATCCATACCCTGTAGACTTCATTTAAGCAGAATATTCAGAATAGATATATCCATAGAAAGAGAATACATATCAATGACTGACAAGGTTTGATGGGAGTGGAAATGAAAAGAGCAACTGCTTAATGGTGCAGTGTTTCCTTTTGGGTTGATTAGAATGCAATAATTTGTCAGTATAAGTTCCTTAGTTATAACAAGGAACATACTAATAAAAGATGTTCAAAATTGGGGACTCTCTTCCATGGTGAGGAGAAGTAGGTTGAGTGATATATGGGAACTCTCTGTAGTGTGCATTCAGTTTTTCTCTCAATTTGAAGTTGTTCTAAAAAATTAATTTCAAAAACCCTTTACCTTAAATGACTCCTGGTCAAAGAAGAAGTAAAGCTGTAAAATAATGCTAACATAAATATAGCATATCGTATGTTGTAAGATATAGTTAAAATGATACTAACCTTAAATATTTTCATTACAAAACAAAAAATAAAAATAAAAATAAAAATAAATGAACCAGACATTGATTTGAAAAACTGTGAAAAGTAAAATAGTCCAAAAACAGCTTTAAGAAAATATTAATAATGATTAAACAAAGATAAATGATTTAAAAAACAAAGCCTACTATAAAATCGGTACATCCCAAAGGTGAGCTCTGTGACAAGTCCAATTAGGGGAAAAAAATAAAGCATAAATGGACAAAGGAGTAATGAAAAAAGATTATCCAAAAAGTTATAGAGGTGATTCAAATGTGTGAGAATACCAGGTATGACAACAATTTGAAAAATTTGATTAAAAGAATAACTTTAAGTAAAAAATATTACTTAAGCCAGAATAAATCAATAATAGTAGAAAATATTAGAAAAACTTTTTAAAAATTGCTTCCAAAATGATGCCAAGGCCAATGGTGTTATCAATTTGTTCTTTAAGTATTTCAGGGAACAGATAACATATTAAACTTTTTCAGAATATGAAGCATTGTGTTATTTTACCTTATAAAGCTGGCCTAAATCTTTAATACTAAAAATCTATTAATTATAATTTCCAGAATAATAAAAATACACATTAATATCACTTATAAATGGGAATGTAGAAGTTCTCAGTAAATAACCAATCTTTATTTTTTGGAATGTATTTTCTTCATATGAATTGGATATAAGATTAACTAGTTTGAATGTGCATTTTGCTTACAATTACTTGTTATAACTGAATTGTTGTCTGCAGCTAGCACTGTCATAAAAGGAAAGATTTTTGCATAAAGCATCGAAACATCTGCTTTGAATTATTTGGTTGCTCTGCCTGGATAGGGTTCTTGGCTTATGCTACATCGTTTTTGCTCTTTTCTGCTAGTTTGAGTTCTAAGTTGAATTGTGAAGCCAAAATTATAGAGGAGAGGTGTCTAAGCATGTGGATTAAAGAGAAAAAAGTGGAAATCTGTAGGTTTAGTTTGGTTTCTTTTGATCAACTAATTATTTTAATCAGAGTAACATAATATAGTGTATAACTATAATCCTATCTTTATTACTGAAGCATTATAACATGATTTTTGATCACAAGATTTTTTAAAAAAAATGTAATTGCTATACTGTGTGTAACAGCACAATACTATATGCAGTAGAAAAATCATGCAGTTCTCTTTAATGAAACCAAAACCATATTAGACATAGATTAACATGAAGTGTTGATTTTTTTCTTTAATATGCCTGTAGTGAACTATGACATTTGGTAGTTTTTTGGTATTTATGATAAATGTATTTGTCCCAGACCAATAGCCAACATCATTCTTAGTGTTAACTGCAAGGGAAATTCCCACTGAGATCAGGAACAAGACAAGGTTGACTGACTGTTCTTTCTTCTGTTATTAAACACTGTTCTAGAAGTTCTGGCCAATGTGGTGACAAGAAAAAAGAAAGGAGACATATTTTTCTAACTAGATATCATATTTATGAATTACATAAAATAGTTTACAACAGATAGGGGGTCAAAATGACTGAAAGATAAAATTTTGAAATCAATATGACAGCAGTTATTTGAAAATACGGTGCAAAGAATATCAAGATAGTGCCTATACTATTGATATACAAGGAAGAAGCTAAAACAAAATCGATTGGAATACATTTTACAACAAAGAACCTTATGTTCACTGAGGCCTTAATACATTCAGAGACCTGGAAGTTCACCAGCAGGAAGGTTCTATATTAGTGGGTTGAGTATTTCCCTCAAATTAGGATAGAAATTTTATGAAATTCTCACCAGAACTTTTTCAAGGGTACTTAACAGACTTATTTTGAATTATCCAGTTAGCCATCTCTTTCATGGTCATAAATGTTTAAGAGAAATAACTGGACTTTATTCTAGGCCCCAGTAGGCAGCTAGACAAGTACCTCAGGCAGGTTGGACTAGGTATACAGCCCCAAGTCCTGCCCTGATTCTGAAGCTTATTGCATGGAGGCATTCCAGTGTGTCTGTCATGCGGTGTAAAGTGTACCCTGGAGAGAGTGTGGAGATGTGCTGGCCAAGTGACAAGGGAGACCTCGCTGCTAGGAATGATGTGGTTGCTCTGTGAACTCAGTGAAGTCATTTGCCTTTTTTCTCCATCCTGCTGCAAGATAACCTTCAAATATTGTTTTAATGTTGTAAAAAGGAAGGGCAGGGTAATGAATAAAAAGCCATGGAAAAAGAAGTGGTACGAATTTATATTTGAGCTCTTGCTCTAGACGACCCTGTGATCATTTTCGTCCAGTAGGCATGCCATGTGGCAGCTGTTAATGTAGCAACAGTGACAATGGTTCTTGATATTTAATTTTTTTGATCTGTCAATTTTTCCTAGGATTATTCTTAAGAAAATAGTACATCACCTCTAATATTCATGTTTGATCAGGAAAATAAAAAGGCCAGTTGGTAAGAAAATAAGACTAGATTACTATAATTGTGTTAGCTTAAATGTTCTAAGATAGGAAATACAGGGTTGTCTGTAAGCTTAATACTTTAGTGTGATGAAATGGGTTTCTAATGAAATGGAAAAATATTAAATGTAACTTAATTTTGAATACATATACTGGATCTGATTGGAATTGATTTT